TAATATTTTAGATTTAGTGGAATAATATTTTAGATTTAGTGGGGTGTCCCACTATGTGGGTCATGTGGCCCATTTGGGCTAATGTCCCACCACATGCCCCCACATGTGGGAGCTGGACACTATCCCCACTCCACAAAAAAAAAAGTGGTTCCTAAAATATCTTCATTGCCATTTACCGGGTTTTAAGCCATAAAATAATTTATGAAAATCTAAAAACATTTAAAAACATTTAAAGCATAAGAAAGCTAAAAACAACATTTCTGAAAGTCTGTAAATTTTTTTTAAAAATCTAAAAACATTTAAAAACATTTAAAGCATAAGAAAGCTAAAAACAACATTTCTGAAAGTCTGTAAATTTTTTTTAAAATACTTAGAAATACCTCTAGAAGTAGATTGGTATTTTTTTTAAAATACTTAGAAATACCTCTAGAAGTAGATTGGTATTTCTATCTTATCAAACCAACGCAATAGGACCTATGACCCACAGTCATGCACATGGGCTCATGATTGGCCTGTCAAAGATGGCCTATAAATAGTGCTATAGTATGTGGCTTATAGCTCCCCCGCCTTCTAGAGCAAGTTTCATGTACATATCACTATAGTACAAGGGGCACTCTCTCTATGTATGTGTACATGTATCCTTCTATAGAGTTGCTTGCCATACCGCGGTTGTCATTTGTACATGCCATGGGGAAGTTTTGTTGTGGCCCTCACTCTTAGAGACCTACAACTGCATATAGGAGATCACGAAGCTCTCCTGGCCTATAAACATTGTCCATGGGCATCTCTTCGACCTCAACAAGGGATGACCTTCCAGATAACCCTCACCGATAGAAAAAGGGTTTTAGACATGACCCGGCCTATAGACTGACCAACTTTAAGTCAGTCAACTAATCATACACTCATATTGAAGTGCAAATTCACTACATTTATTAATAGACCAGATTATGCATGTATTCACTCTTCTAGTCTATTATGATAACTCTTCACTTCTAGTGCAAATAACTCTTCTATTTTAGTGAATATTTCTAACCAGCAAATAATCTCACGGGCTTTGAAGTGCAAATAACTCTTCTAGTCTATTTTAGTCATACACTCATGATTTTCCCTATAAATAGACTAGAAGAGTTATTAATGCCAAAGAAAGGAGAAAAATGAAGAACTTATTATGCATCTGGAATGCTAAGAATATGTTGTGTCATCCAACTCTTGCTACAAAATCTGGAGAGGGTTACAAATCTCAAATATATGAGTCATTGTTGGAAATAAAGGAATAACCTTTATTGTATTTGATGAACAGAATTGTCATTCATCTTTTGTTTAGACTTTATTTGTCTTATGTCTCTAAATAAGGGCAGTATTGTCCATAAGTAGTAATGAGAGTTATTACTTAATGTTATAAGAGAGGTAGAGGTCACAAGTGACCTCTAATCCACTCACTTTTATTCTTTGTCAATAAGTAGTAATGAGAGTTATTACTTAATGTTATAAGAGAGGTAGAGGTCACAAGTGACCTCTAATCCACTCACTTTATCTCTCTATCTCTCTCATGGCTATGTTATAAGAGATTTTATTCTCTATCTGAGGTAGAGGTCACAAGTGACCTCTAATCCACTCACTTTATCTCTCTATCTCTCTCATGGCCATGTTATAAGAGATTTTATTCTCTATCTCTCTATCTCTCTCATGGCTATGTTCTAAGAGAGGTAGAGGTCACAAGTGACCTCTAATCCACTCACTTTCATTCTCTATCTCTCTATCTCTCTCATGACTCTCTCTCTCTCTCTCTCTTCTCCTTCATCATCTTTATTTTCTTTCCTCTCTTACTCTCTCTAGATCCTATCAAATTGTTTTCTTCTTTACCAATGTAGTATCAGAGCAGTAAGGATGGCACGGTAGCACGATATTGTAGCACAGTACTATAGCAGGGGTTGATGGCAAAAAAGGTGTGCAGGAACTATCTTTAGGGGTAATGTCATCTTTGGTGTGCAAGAACTATGTTTAGGGGTAATGTCATCCTTTGGTTAGGGCTTTAGGGCATAATGTCATCTAACTTTTTTTCAAGCAGTGTCTGTGCCAGTGGAGGTGACATTCTTTTTTTTAACGATTCTGAATGCCTATCAAGTATTTATTTCAAATCCTAGTTGTTGAATGGATTTGGGTTTGTATGCCCAATCAAAGAAGTATCGTTAGTACTTTGATATCAAGTTGGGAATGCCACAAATACACCTTTTCTTTATTAGCAATTGAAGAAGTGGCAGCTGCAGTCAAAGCACAATCAGGGGTCTCCAAAAAGTATAATCCTCCATTTTCACAACCATGCCCAAATGTCTTCCCCATCATCAAGTTCTGGAATACATAGTGAGAAGGGAAAAATGTTATACTACAGTTTAGGGTCTTTTTATTAGCAATTGAAGAAGTGGCAGCTGCAGTCAAAGCACAATCAGGGGTCTCCAAAAAGTATAATCGTCCATTTTCATCTTCCCCATCATCAAGTCTTGGAATACATAATGAGAAGGGAAAAATGTTATACTACAGTTTAGGGTCTTTGTGAGATTGCTAACTGACAGGAGGTTACTAGAAGAGAGGGAACATGTAAGGTGGATGACAAGTTAACAGAAGGCATAACATGTATGGTTCCCTTTCCCTTGAGTGGAATAAGAGAACCATATACTATTTTACCTAATTCATGACTAGACATGGGATATAAGAGAAAAAATCAGCCATACTAATCATATGTTCAGTTGCTCTACAATCAAGAATCCAAAGGGTTTCAAAGCTGTTTATAGAAATACGATGCGCTGATGCAAATATCCCTGATTGTGCAATGTGAGACTTAGAGGAGGGTGAAGGGTCTCGAATGGAAGCCTGCTGCTTGAGATCTAGGGGCCCTCTTTTAGGAATAGTCACCATCTCCTCTTGAGGTTTAAAGGAGATGGTATCTTGCTTCAACTGGGACAGTACTTTCATTGATTGTTGTTGAATTTTCCCTTGGAAAGTTTCGCTTTAACGTCCAACCACATCCCAACATGTTTCCCTAATGTTTCGGGTCTTCCCACGATAAGTGCACTCCAACCACATCCCAACATGTTTACCTACTGTTTCGAGTCTTCCCACGATAAGTGCACTCCAACCACATCCCAACATGTTTCCCTAATGTTTCGAGTCTTCCCACGATAGGTGCACTTTATTTTGTTCTTCTCATCAGATGTGGGGTGTCCATGGCTCCCAAAAACGTCCTCCACCTCGATTACCACTATTACTTATGAATAGGGCGGATCTTTCAGTTTCACACATAGACACAACCATTATCTTGCTCTTCATGTTGAAGAAGGGAGAAAATAACATTATCTTGCTCTTTATGTTGAAGAAGGGAGAAAATAATAATAAGTGATGGCAAATGCTCGCTACCGAGAACATTTGCCTAGATTGTTTCATACTCTCCACTAACTCCCCTCAAAAGATAAAAAATTTCCTTTGTTCCAATATGGTCATGCATCGTCTTTTACTTTGTGTTCTTTAGTTCCTAAATTGTTTGAGTCTCTAGGTCAAGTTCAATTGCAATGTGACATTTATGAGTTGTCAAAATATTGTAGAAAGAACTATGTTCCTTTCTCTCTTATACACTATGACGTGTGGGGTCCTTCACCAGTTGCATTTGTGTTTGGATTTCGTTTCTTTGTTCTATATGTGGATGTTTGTTCTAGATTTACAACTATCTATTTAATCAAACACAAAGATGAAGTTGCTCATCTATTCCAAGTCTATCACAAAATCGTTAAAACTCAATATGATGCATAAATTAAAGTCTTGCAGTCGGAAAATGGGGGTGAGTATATGGCAAACAAACTCATATTTCTTGAGCAAGGGATTGAGTTCCAAAAAACGTGTCCATACACATCTCAGCAGAATGGTATGGCTGAGAGAAAAAACACACTTGTTAGAGGTCACCCAAGCTCTTTTACTAAGAATGAATGTTCCAGAAAATTTCTAGCCTGAAGCAGGTCCCACTGCTTCCTTTTTAATAAATTGCATGCCCTCTCATGTTCTTGAGGGAAAATCTGCTGCTGAAATTGTTCATTCCAACTCACCCATGTTCCCTGTAACTCACCCATGTTCCCTGTACCTCCCAAGGTATTTGGTTGTATATTTTTTATCCACATTCTTGGTCCAAAGACGGTCAAGCTTGATGCTAAAGCTGCCAAATGTATTTTTCTAAGATATCTACCTCTTCAAAAGGGATATAAGTGCTATGATCTTATTAACAAGGTCTGTTATGTCTCCATAGATGCCACTATCTTTGAATATGTTTCATACTTCTCCTCTATAGGTCTTGGGTGCTCTCTTCAAGGGGAGAATAAGATACAGTTTAGTGAAGAGAGGACATCAGCCCATACAACGTTCTTCTTGTGCAAAGAAACAGAGAGAGACGTGTGAGAGATAGAGAGATAGAGAAGAAAAGTGAGTGGCTTAGAGGTCACTTGTGACTTCTACCCCTTTTATAATAAACCTTAATTACAACTTATGGACAATATTGCCCTTATTTAGAGAAAGTGAGTGGCTTAGAGGTCACTTGTGACTTCTACCCCTCTTATAATAAACCTTAATTACAACTTATAGACAATACTGCCCTTATTTAGAGACATAAGCCAAATAAGGACTAAACAAAAGGTAAATGACAGTTTGTCCATCAAATACAATAAATTTTATTCTTTTTATTTCCCACAGTCACAATATGTAGCCATCTACGTTTGGAAGTGCATGATTATTTTCGGGAAATGTATCTTACATATCAGAAAATGCCATTGGAATAAAAGAGACGTAAAGGCTATCTTACGATGACTAAACAAAAGATAAATGACAATTCTGTCCATCAAATACAATATATCTCATTCCTTTTATTTCCAGCAGTCACAATATATAGACATGAGTATTTTTGGGAAATGAAACTTACATATAAAAAACATGCCATCGCAATAAAAGAGATGTAAATGACTTACGATGAGGCAGTCTGGTCAGCATCAACTTCTTTGTCGTTTCTATCAATTTTTTCTCCTAAAAGAGTAATCAAAGGAGGCCTTTAGCTTATCACATTCATCATCAACACAATACAGTAGTAAAACCCTTTTGAAAATTTCCTCTTACAAGTGAGATAAAAGTACGTAAACCATACTTACCACCTATTGACTCTGGGATGAATTTTGCGAGCCGGTACTTCTAGTGAAAACGAAAAAAGGATTAATAAGAAAAACAGATATTTAATTGAAGCCATAGTGCATATGTAGAAGAATACTTGGGTACCTGCAAATGGCTTTTTACATGGTATATTGTGAGCCCCTGAACTCCCATTATTTTCAAAACACCTTTAGGTGTAGCCCCTATAAGAAAAAGGTCATTCAAAATCAAATATAAGAAGTCCTAACACTGATCTCTACTTTGTTCTAGACCAATAGTACCCATTTATTAATTTCAGAGAATCTACACAAAAAAGGAGCAATCTGACAGAGTACAGCACTTGATTCATCCTATGGGCAGCAGGACGAATTCTTAGTGAGATTTGATTCACAATAAAATCAGCAAGGTATTAAACAACAGAACACAAATGGTTTTGTGACCTACTACTACTACTGCTCTTCAATGGGAATGTGCATTGAACTCTGAAAAGCCTTTCACAAAAAGGGAGAAATTAACGAGACTATCTACTTCTACAGCCAATTTGACTTCAAAATCTCTACTCCAATGGTTTATTTACAGCATACTCCAATGGTTTATTTACAGCATATATCTTCAAGAAGTGCTTTTATAGAACCAACAACACAAAAATGTGGCAACTGGATCACTAGAACTGTGGGAAACAACAACAATACCATGTGGGACTTTATGCCCAAAATGCCATCATGATTTAGGAAGGAATCTAAAAAACTTATCCCTTAAATCATTGACCCCATATCCACTGTTAGTTAGACTAGAACTAGATCTTCCATAGTCCAATAAAATTTGGACTCTTTACTCGTATAGAAATAACGGCTAATAAATAGTCCAATAAAATTTGGACTCTTTACTCATATAGAAATAACGTCTAATACCTTTAGAAATCCAAGTCAATAAGGAAGATCCATTGGACTCTTTACTCATATAGAAATAACGTCTAATACCTTTAGAAATCCAAGTCAATAAGGAAGATCCAATGCCAAGTCAAAGAATACTTCCAACCAACAAAATCTTTTTACAAGATTTCCTCAAGATTTTTTAAACAAAATAATATTTTAGATTTAGTGGGGCGTCCCACTATGTGGGTCATGTGGCCCATTTGGGCCAACATCCCACCACATGCCCCCACATGTGGGAGCTGGACACTATCCCCCCACCCCCCTCCAAAAAACAAAGTGGGTCCCACCAATTCAAAATGCCAAAGGGTGAAGAAGAACTTAACATTATCCATTTAATGGATTGGATGCACCACAACCGTTCCAGTAGTATGAGTGATATTCGACTCTAATGGATTGGATGCACCAAAACCATTCCAGTAGTATGAATGATATTCGACTCGACGAGAGATTTCCTTGGAATTATTTTAACAGTTCCAGGTAGACTCAGCCTTATCCAAGACAAATCCACACAAACCAATTAGGTCAACCCAGATAATAATAGCCTTATCCATGACAAAATCGACACAAACCAATTAGGTCAACCCAGATAGTAATAGCAGCCCCATCCTCCAGTGATTATATCAATTGCCACGCAAGTCATAGTTGCAACTTGCAACAGGAGGTTGATTGACAGAACTAAAGGGCATAAATGAACTCCAATATGTCAATCTTAACAGCGATTATATCTAAGCATGATAGATTCAAACATAGCCATTTCTAACTTGTTTTAGACCCAAAACCATAAGAACTTACTATGTTGTATTTCTGAAATTTCTTATGGGATATAATCCTGAATTTTGAGAATGTCAAACCTAAAATTCGTCATAGGTTCCACCTCCATGTAGAAAAATCAGTTGCAGTTGTTAGAGCTAAACTGACATGTTTGTCTATTACAGCTTCATCTAAGGTGATGGATTTTACTGTTTCATATGTCATTTTAGCAGCTATTGACACAATTTCTGGGCCTTACAGTATTAAGCATTGCACAAACACAGGCAATTCTATTGAGCAGAGTCAAATGCTTAAGTTCAATAATGCTCAGAGTTAGCAAGCAGGAGCACACCCTGAGAATAACACCAAGCCCCAATATGGATGTAGGGCAACCTGTGCTTAAAACTACTGTATACCATAAATCCATTACTAAACTAGTAGTCCGGTTGAAAGGATGAGTATTGATGTACAAGCCCAAATCATTTTCTGTAATGTCAAACAATCATGTAAAATATCATTCCAAACCTCATGAGTTCGTACTAAATGCATGATTTCCCAAGAAAATAAGGAGAGAACAAAATTCCACCATTCATACAACCTCACTTTTTGACTGAGAAACTAACCACTCTAATGAATTTTCTGAATCTTATAGTAGAATATAAAAATATGGACCATGAGAATTTATTGTTCTTTACTGGAAGTTGGAGAATTTCCATCGTATGAATGGTGCTGAGATGCATGCTCTTTTGAAACTTCTGAGTGGTGTTGTAAGGGAAAGAATCTGCATACATTTGATTACATTCTAGTTTGGAATATTAGAACTCTGCAATTGCATATCAGTGTCCCTAGATTCTGATGACTTTTTTCTTGTTGACCATAAGTTATAGAAGTTACAAGGAAGGCATACACATAAAATTCACAGTTATCAATTCATGAAGCTCTTAAAAGAAGAAATATGTTTGCTTGCAGCATGAAGACCAGTATCACACTTAAAGACAGAAAAAAAAAAATCCTCCAAGAAATATTAAAAAAACAGAAAAAAAAAAAATCATACTTGCAGTACGCATTTAGACTGCTCATTGAGCAACCAAGGATCTATTTGTTGACAGATGGAATGATGTTTATCTTTCTAAAAGAAACAACAGCATAATATTTTCCCATAAATATTTTATTAACTCACTCTCAGGCCCACCGAGCTGAGTGATAGCCTCAACAAATCGATCATGTAAGTCAGGAGTCCAACGTAGGCGTTGTCTAGTTGAAGGGCCTCCTCTGGATGCCATGTTGCTTCTAATTGAATAGGAGGGCAGTCCAAGATATCTGTGGGCATTTTGAGGAACCGAAGAGGATTCTGAGAATTCCCCTTCATGTAACATGTTCTGAAACAATCAAATCAAGTCAGTTTTTGGAAAGCATGCAAGGGCCTCAAGAGTACTATAGCAATCATACAAATCATACATGAAGCATTCATGGAAAATATTTCTAATTGACAATCTATGTGTGACAATTGCAATTTAAAAAGCATACCAATGACAAAAAGGAGGCACAAAATCAACGACTCCCCAACCCAAACTGGAGAAGCATAATCATAGTTCAGATATAACAAACAGCTGTGACCCAAGAAATATAGATGAAGGCAATTCATGTTCTACACTAGAACTTGACAATATTTTTAACAACAAAGAATCAACTTGGCAGTGAGTTTTCACAAAGTTCCATTGAACTTCTATAAACATTTGGCTTCCCAAAGTTCCATTGAACTTCTATAAACATTTGGCTTCCCACTTTCCTCTCTATGGAAATCAGACAAGTGATTATAATATGTTTCCGTTCATGCCACTATCTAATGACGGTGTCATCACAATTGAATTCTTGAACAACATTCACTTTATAAAAATCGAAAATATACAACCATGATAAACTTCTGGTGGTTTACAATCTATACTCCATCCATATCATAAGAATCCAATTAGTGTTCAGTCCCTCACAGAGTTAACATTTAACTGCTTAAAACTGTTAGTAGTTTTCATTGAAGCAAACAGAAAAGATGTATCTTACCAACCATGTCAATTGAATTAAGAGGAACACATCTATAAGAGGACCTAAGTATCTTGGATTTGACGGATCCCCAACACAAGTATTCCCAAATTTATCCACCATGATAAGTAGTGGAACCTTGGCTTTGACCATGAGGCTCCAATCCATTCAAGCATGAAGTTTGTGATCTTCAAGCCAAGACTAATTATTGTTGACCATTAAACTATGGAATTGCAATTTCTTTTTAAGCCTTTTGAAGAATTTGACGTTACTATATAGTTTTACACTTCATCATGCCATCCTTCTTAAAATGAGAAACAAAAAATGACATTTCAAGGGGTGGAAACAAAGCACTCCAAAACAAGCACTTTACACAACAAAAAGGTGTTCAAATTGTTCAAAAGTTTAGTTTTCAACCATGGCTGGAGATACAAAACAAAAAGGTGTTCAAATTGTTCAAAACTTTAGTTTCCAACCATGGCTGGAGATCAAGTGCTCAAATTTGGGGCACAACCAGGCAAAAACAGCAAAGGACCAATGCATGAAAACTGTGGACTTCAAGATTCAAGAAAAAAAACCATGAATGTTTACATCCAACTTCTGTAATTTCTCGTCATGTGCAGTTCCATTTTTTATTTGATTAAGAATAACAAGTGCTCAACAATATGGGTGCTTCTAAACCTCTATGAAACCCAACTAATTATTGCATTTTGAATTACTCACATTGACGTCCAGAGCAATAATTCATCAAATTGGAATTAATTCATTGCTAGAAACGGTCCTACAAATTCTTGAAACAAAACCCTCATGTCTTCTTGTAGCGCCTGTTTTATTGTGCATAAATAGATGAAAGTATTTTGTTCATTTTGCAAAGGTCCTTTCAAGATCATTGTTCAACTCATTTTTCTTTACAAGCCATAGCCTCCTATCAATATGCCAATTACTATATGATCCCAGAACTACTCATATAGTAGAACTGAGTCAGATAACAATTGCTGCAAAGACAATTAATGCAACAAATGCTGAATCGAAGAAGGTAACTTTGGCAAATTTCAGTTGAATTCCCCTGTAATTTTCGTGAACCTCACCCACTCAGATTGTTACTCTGAATTGGGGACTTCCACAATCAATGATAGCTAAACCAAACGAAGAAGAAAAAGTCGAAACAATCGATAGACATACCACAAACGCAATTTCCTCATGCATAATTAGCAAAGTTTTACATGCATTCAAAGAAATGCCAACAACGATGAGAGAGAAAGGTGAACTGAAAAAGCAAACTCCGACAATGATGAGAGAGAAAGGCACGTTAAAGAAGGGAGGGCAAGCACAGAGAGAGAGAGAGGGAACTTACAGGGGACTGTTAATTCATAATGGCGTGGAGATGGGATGCAACGAAGAAGTAAGAGAAGCTCCAAAGATGCCATCGCTGTCGGAGCAATAAGGGGATACTGTTTGAAATGAATGAGAATCTTGAATGTCGGTTTTATTAGTTTACAATTTAACGAGAAATTTACTGAAATATATCATTAATTTACCGTTAACAAACCGGGAAAGGTTTCTATCCTTCTTCTACTGTTTAGAAATATACGTAGGACTGAAATAAGCGATCACATATATTTCCCTATGTAAATAATTTTATAAATATGCGATCGAATAGTATATTACGTCACCTAAATAATTAGAGGGTTTTTCAATGGGTAAATAATTACATGAGTTTTCAATGGGAAAGCGCATTAGATATAAGTACATTTATAATATTTATCTATAATTATAATTATATTCATATAATTGTTTTATTATTTATTATAATATTACAATCACATTATTAATATTGATTCTAATGGTACTATAATAAAATAGTTAACTATAGTAATTTAAATTATTATCTTGAGATAAAATTAACTACCTATAATTTTTACTATTCGGATATATTAATAATATTTAATTCTAACTTTAATAATTCTATATAATTTTCATAATTAAAATTAATAAAATTATACTTATTATTATCATAATACATGAATTACTACATTAACATTAATAGAATTAGTTTATTAATTTTTTATTTTTAATTATAAATTTTAATATATAACTATATTTAATATCACTTATAGTTTTAAAGAATTTGATTTTTTAAAAGTATGGTACTAAAATTTGCATATTTTGAAATAAAGTTTAAAAAATATCATGCATTTGAAATTTTATTTTGGTAGAAGATGCCCTTTCTATTACATACTTTATTCATGTGTTGATTAGGCCCATGCTTTGAATGTGAATAGGCCTTCCTAGATGCCCCGTATAAATGCTTTATTCCAATAACGTTTCAATTTCAATTTTCAAACTTTAGATTTCAATATCCATTTGAACTTGGATAAGAGTTAATTTTAATATTTTTCTTTTCCAATTAGAACTTAGAAAATTGGAAGAGAGTTAAAGGATTCAGATTTTATGATTAATTCGAACATCATAACAAGAATAAAGAATAAAAGATCAAAGCAAAATGAAGAAAAAACCCTTTCAAACTTCAACGTTATAAAAAAAAAGATAAAAAAATAATGAAAAGTGAGAAATAAAATTAGAAAAACAGAATAATAATTATCATACCTTCCCTTCCCACATTAAAATAAAATCTAGCCTAGTCAATTTTCCGTTTTCTCTGCTTAACTCTCACGTTAATTGAATCTAATCTAGTCCATATTCTCTGATATAATTAAATAGGTATTTTCAAACTTTCTATTATTATGACAGGGAATTCGAATTTTTTAAAATCTGGAAAGTTAAAAAAACCAAAAATGTATAAAAGATTGTAAGGAAAAATCCCTTTCAAACTTCCTCTCAAACTTAAAAAGAAGAAAAATAAATAAAATATAAGAGAAAATGATGGAAAAGATAAGCAAAAATAAAGAAAAAAGAATAATAATTCAGAGAAGGTAGCAAAGGGTATCAATGAGATGTATTTGTTTTCCACTATGAATATTTTCAAGTTTCCTCTCGTTCGGGCTTTAAATAGTATGTGACTCTAAAACTACTCCCTCGATGGCATGGTGGCGTGGTGGTTTGAAGAAAGGGACTTTTATATATCCAGGTTATGTATATTAATTCCCATATGAAAAAGGTACCCTTTCTCTATGATGGTCCTTTCCCTTTCTTTCTGGCCCTTTCTCTACGATAGCCCTTTCCTTTTCTTTCTCTCTAAATGGCCCGGAGATGCAACCTTTGAGGAATGGTTGTGACTCTAGGATCTTTCTCTCTAGATGGCAAATAGATGCATCGTTTGAGAAATAGTTGTGATTAGGGTGTTTCTATCTAGATGGCAAGTAGATGCAATTTTGAGAAATTGTTGCGACTCTAGGATTTCAATGTTACCTAATTATCTTGATTTCTTAATAGTCATCAGCCTCATATATCGAAAGGAGATTCAACCTTTGAGGAATAGCTGTGACTCTAGGATTTAATATTACCTAATTATCTCAATATTTTAATAGCCATCTCTTTCCTATATGGAAAGGAGACGCAACCTTTAAGAATAGCTGTGACTCTAGGATGGAGATGCAAACTTTACGGATAGCTATGACTTTAGGATTTTACTGTTACCTAATTTTTTATTTTAATATATCTTGTGCTTGTCTCTAAAACTGCTAACTCTAATAATCTAATAGTTATCTTGATTTCATAATAGACATCTCTCTCCTCATAGATATCTCATTTTTCTCAAGTGATGCTCACTCTAAGTGATGCTCAGTCTCAACTCCTATTTAAATTTTCTTTCCCTACATTGCCTCTAGGAATAGGGTCCTTTTTAAATTTTTTGACATGTGTCCACCCCTTGGCTGTGGCTTAATAATGTAGTACAGAGATACTTTCTCAATCCAGCCGTTCAATTTAGATCTAGTGAGCCACTGATATTTTAATCTATATTTGATGTCTTAGAGTATTTTATTTTTAGTTTTTTTTCTATAAATTATATGAATATAAAATTTGGTATGTTCCATCATCTCAATGGGGTGCACCTAAAAAAATAGTTAGCAAAATATTTTTGATAACATACAAAGACCAAAATACCCCTAATCTTTTAGGGGGCATTTTAGTGACTTTATTTTGTTGAGAATATTTTTTTTATATTTTATACATGTGCAAGTTTAAGAGAGGAGTGGACTCTCAAAATTTGGTGTCAAAATAATTTGTAAAAAAATAAAAATAAAATAGCGTAGAGACGTAATATTGTGATTGGGACCATCTCAGCCATCCATTCAGCTTGCCCCAAAGACGACTTCTCTTTGCCTCTCACCTAGATCATCATTGATTTGACTGTAGCATGAAAAATCTTCTTGTTTATGGTTGGACATTCTGGCCACAATCAAATCAGAATGGCTCCTGAAGACAAAGAATTGACAGCCTTCAGGACCATGAAGAAGTATTGTTACAAGGTGTTGCCCTTCGGATAGAAGAATGTTGGCATGACGGTCATATTTGAAGACATACTCCACGACATCGTGGAATGCTATGTCGATGACCTGGTCGTCAAGTCGAAGCAGTGGTCCGCTCACCTCTCGGATCAAGAAGTCGTGTTTAAGAGGTTGAGGAGACATGAAGCTATTTTCTAGGCTCATGAAGAAAGATGTCCCTTTTGAATGGAACGAGTCCGACCAAAATGCCTTCCAGGATATCATGGACTATCTACTGAACTCACCAGTTCTTACAGCTCATGTGCCCAACAAACCACCATCTTATACATAACAGCTTTGGAAGGATCATTGGGCACTCTTCTGGCTCAACACAACGAAGAGGGGAAGGAAGTAACATTGTACTTTTTAAGCCGAACATAATTACTCTCCCATCAAGAAAATGTGCCTAGCACTAGTATTCATAGTTCAAACTCTGCGACATTATTTGCTCTCCCACCAGGTGCATCTGATTTCTCGAGCAAAGCCGATTAAATATCTCATGACAAGACCGGTTCTTTCTGGTCAACTACTTAAGTGGACTTTACTCCTTGTGGAGTTTGACATTACCTATGTCCTACAAAAAGCTATCAAAGGGCAAGAATTGGCCAACTTCTTAGCCGCTCACTCATTGCCCGAGGGGTCCCCTTTGAATGAAGACCTATCGGATGAGGAAGTCATGTTTATGAACAAGCTTGCCTCATGGCTAATGTTCTTTGATGGTGCTTCCCAAACAAAAGGTGCTAGAGCAAGTGTGATATTTGTCACACCAAACAAGGGAATCTTGCCTTACGCCTTCTCATTAAATGAAAGGTGTTCAAATATTGAGGCAGAATATCAGTCTAGACATGGCACTCGAACTGGACCTAGGGTCCCTTGACATCTTTGGAGATTCCCGGTTGATCGTCCGACAGCTGAAGGGAATATATGAAGTCCGCAAAGATGAGCTTAAGCCATAATATAACACTACAAGATACCTCTTGGGAAAAATATATGGGGCTACTCTAACCGAATTCCCTGAGGATCAAATGTGCAGGTCGATGCACTAGCTAAGCTAGCAGCCGCCATGATTATCGAACCCGGGGTACAACTCCAGATCCCCATGCGAGAATAACGATCCATTCCTATGATGAAAAAGGCAGACCCTAAAGACGAAGAAAACCTATGGATGGAGTTTCCCCCATACCCGCAAGGATTTATGAGAAAGTTGGTCGAGGAACCTGTTTCCGACAATGTCATTGGCGTCAACCTTTTCTGGAGTATTTGGTCCATGGCCAACTCCCTGAAGTCAAGAAAGAAAGGGTAGCCCATAAAAGGCGAGCCACGAGGTTCACACTCCTCGATGACCAACTATATAGAAGGTCATACGATGGAATGTTGCTGAGATGCCTTTTGTACAAGGAGGGACAAGCAGCGTTAAAGGAGGTGTACGATGGAGTATGCGGTATGCACTAGTCGAGACCCAAGCTGTATCACCAGTTACATCGGATGGCGCATTTCTGACCCACTATGATGAAAGATGCAATTAAATATGCAAAGAAATGCCACGCGTGCCAAATACATGCTGCCTACATATACTAAGCACTAGAACCGTTGCATCCCAGCCTTCTGTCATGGCCCTCTTTTCAGTGGGGAATGAATATCGTGGAGCCCATTATCCCAGCATCAACAAATGACCATTTATACATATTAGCCGCTACTGTCTACTTCTCTAAGTGGGCTGAAGCCGTCTCACAGCGAACAATAACAAGCAAGACGGTGGCCAACTTTATCTATCACCATATTGTGTATCGATTCAGAGTACCGGATAGGATTTTATTCGACAACAGTTCCCTGTTTAAGAATGATCAAATTTTCCAATTGACTAGTCAGTTTAAGATCAATTAGAGGTATTCATTC